TCGCAGGACCCCAAAAAGAACATCCCAAGGATCCGCACAAGTCAGTTTGTGTAAATAAAATTTAAACAGCTTCACCAGAAAACCTGGAAGACTATGTTGAGCACTGTGGGAATAGCAAGGTACTCCTAGGGCACCGTTCATTCTTTGGCTCCCAGGCCCAGAGGAATGTTCTCCCTAGGGTATGCAGAAGCCCCAGTGAGGAGCAGACTTCCCTGTTCAATGCCCCTGCTCTGCAGGGGCCACTCTGTCCCACATTCCACAGTGGGAGGTTTCAGCCCCTACCTGAGGCCTAGGGGGTCAGCTGTGCCTTGTCAGGGTAGGACACTGAAGGATTTTCACAGGCTCAGGGTCTCCCAAAGTGTTCTGCCACCTAGCCACAGGACCCCCGAAGGAGATAACCATTTTTCTTGGCCTCTTCTGCCATGCACTGCCTCCTAGGGCCAGGGGCCTCACAGGCTAGGGGGCTGCCTCATATACCTTGAATGTATCATGAGAAGATGCTCCAGCAGTGTGACCTGGATGACCCTTTGGCTGGTCTAAATCAATGGGTGGGATGGTTTCAGGAAGCCTCTGACAGGGCTCCAGTGACTAACGGAACAGGCGTGTGAAAACTGTAATTGCCTAGTAAACACAAGCTGGTCCATTGATCTGTTTCAGGCCCATTACAGCCAGCTGGGTGAAGGATAGATGAGGGGTTTCCCCAGGCCATTGCAGGATCTCCCTCATAGTCCTTCCAGAAAGATCCTGCCTGGTTCAGCATCCTGCAGATCGGGACCTGCTGTAGGCATCACTGGTTAGTTGGTTACCAGGTATGGCATATGAGTCATGACCCAAGTCATGTATGATGGGACCTGGGAGCCTGGTTAGGACTGGAGGCCCTGGACACGATAATGGTACATACCCAGGAGGATGCAGGCTACAAATTCTTTCTTTGTCATCTTCTTTTTTTTAAATGGTGGGAAAATGTAAAACCCAAGGCGTAGAGAAACCAAACAGTTGAAGGCTGTCCCCTCAAATATTATCAGCAGTTAACTCTGTATTATTGGATAGCATTTTCATTTTTCTCTTTTTACTTCTGAGTCCACTAGACTTCCAAAAGGAAAGAGATGTTATTTAAGATCAAATGAAATGGCTAAAAGGATTTTCCTCTAGCTCTAGGGGGAAAAATTCCCCATTGTCAGCATCCATGGAGAAGGTTAGGCCTTGGGGTTGGACTGGCTCAGCTACCAGATTTCACTAGCCACGGTCCTTTTGCCAAGACACTTAGGGTCCTTGTCTGCACTTTTACGTCACATCTGTCTCACAGATGTGGGTATGCAGGGATAACTGCCCGGAATAAGGGTGAGGCGATGGCGAAGGAGCAGGCACCAAGGGAGGACTCCCTTCAGGATGTTGGGGGTCCAGGCTCCCCAGCTGTGAGTCCCTCTTCCTCCTGCTGGGCTTCCTCTGCCCGGCTGCCTCTCCTGCAACCCACCTTCCATTACTCTAATGGAAGCCAATCGTCCTCATCTAGTCCCATTACCACCCACGGAGTGAAGTGGGCTGCAATTCTGGGAGCTGCTGGGAGGCGGCTGGCCAACTCTTGGGTCATCCATTGTTCTGAATGTCACTGGGCCCCGTAGCTGCAATTACAAGCTTATTCAGTTCCCAGAGCACAGGCCTGTCATCACAGTAGTGAGGAGGAGGTAGGGAGGGGACAGGACCAGGTCCCCAGCCGGGGGCGGGGGGTGGTGGTGGAGGGGGAGAGCCTGGCACAAAGCTGCTGTTTCCTGCCTGGCCACAGCAAAGCGGAGTTGGGGCTCCTCTAGCTCCCACCTGAGGGTTCACTTCCCTGGCTGGCAGGCCCGGGCTGTTTGCCGGAGCTGTGTGGGTGTCGGTCTCATTGGTGCCCGCTCTAGTACTGCCTCTTCATCTCACCTCAGCATCCTCTGCCAGTCCACAACTGCTCCTTTGCTCCTGGCTCCCTGGTGCCTGTCCCTGGCCTCCCCTTCACAGACTTACTCATTTTCAGGTCTTCCCGCTCCAACAAGCACCACTGGCCAATTCCAGGACTAGAGAGCCCTGCCTGACACAGCTACCAGCTGCTTTTCTGGGGACCTGGGCAGGCTGTCTTCCCTTTCTTGTGACTGGACTTCTCTGCTTATTTGGGAGCCAGTGGGGGGTCCCTTCAGAACCCCCAAGGCTTTCTGTCTAGAGTGTCTGGCCTCTGGGCTAACACAGCTGGGCAGACAGGTAAACTACTCCTGCATCTCATAGGAGAAGAGCTCAGGGATTAAGGAACAGGTAGGTCCCTGACTTAGCCCTGCAATATGGAGTGGGGTCGGGGGTGGGGTGGGGTGGGGTGGGGTGGCGTTGGGGAGGGGAAATGATATGCTACAAACTTGTGTTGACCTTGACCTCAGCTGAGAAGAAGAGGAAGAAGATGAGGAGCTTCCAGAACTGGCTAAACGATCTTACCGACTGGTTTTGGATTCTCAAAGTCTTCTGTAGAGACCAGTTGGTTTATCTCTGAAAGTCCTCTGGAGGCTGATGGACCTGGTAGAAAACCAGTTTGGCTAAGGATTTTAGGGGTAGCTCAGAGGCTCCGGCCTGCTCACCCTGTGCTAGGCTCTCAGCCTGGCCATTGACCTTGACACGGTCTTCTTGACGAACTCTCAGGACGTTTAGTATATTGTCTGTGGAGGTGGGATGCCTGGTCCTCAGGAAGGGACCAAAGGGCTGAGCAGGGGTCAGCGACAGAGTTAGGAACAGATGTCGGGAGTCAAGTGGGAGAAAACTTGTCTTCATTTGGAGTTTTCCCAGAAATCAGCCACGGTCAGGCCAACTAACAAGTGAGTTGCTGAGTGCCCCAAAAGGACCCAAGAAGCTGTCCTCACAGACCAATAGATAGAACAGACTATAGGAAACTGCAAACCAGACAGACGGGTGGGGAAGGGCAGTACAGCTGAAATCTGGAGGCAGGCCACTGACCTCTGTTGCAGAAAGCCAAGGCCTATGGGTCCTTCTGGAACATTCCTGAGAGCCTCCCACCTCTCGCCCTTCTCCCTAGCTCTTCCAGTCTCTAAGCCTATTGCCTGAACTTCTAGAAAAGACCCAGCAAACCTTCTAAAAGAAGGGACTAAGAGAAGGGCTTGCCCGGTGTCCGCTCCAAGTCTTGAAGACAACCCTCACCCTTTACAGGGGTGCTGAACTCCTTCCTGATGCTGCTGGATATGGTGCTCTAGGGGAGCCACGTAACAGAACACAGAGGAACCTGGGGGTAGGAGGGAGGCAGGAAAGAGCCCGCCCCACCTGAGCCTCAGCTTCCCCGCTCACCCTTCCCAGAGAAGTCCTGAGCTCCGACATTACCAGCACAATGTTCAGGGGAAACTGAGGTGGCTGCTGAGGTGGGGGGCCCACTGCTCCTCCTCTGCTGACTGAGCAGTGACAGTCCACAGGAAGGAGCCGGGCCTTCTGTCTCATCCAGCAGCGTCCCCTGTGTGCCTCCCCGAACTCTCCTCCTCCTGTCTCTCCTCCTCTTGTGTCTCCCGGGCTTTTCTTCCTAAGTCCCCGAGGAGTCATTTTTCTCTTTAGTGTTATCCTAATGCCCTACTAGATGGGGGCGAAGGCTTCTCAAGGATCCGAGTGAGCCTTGTGTGTCTTGTGCTCCCGGACTTGGCCGCAAATGTGGCAGAGACCAGAGTACACTTGGCCTTTCCATTCTGTCTCCCCTCCTCCAGGCTGGGCAGCCTCAGGAAACCCCCACTTCTTATTTAAAGACCCGGACTCCTTGCCCCTCTGTGGGCCCCAGCTCCCCTGACTCGGTTTCAGTCTTGCCTCTTCCCAGTGGCCTCCTCTTGAGGATATCTGAGTAGCAATGCCTTTCCGTGTGTGTGTGTGTGTGTGTGTGTGTGTGTGTGTGTGTGTGTGTGTACACGCATACCTTTTTATATTCCTCATTGTTTCCCAAGGAGTCAAAGGGGACACAATTATAGAATCATTCAATCTCTGTTGTGAAAATGGTAAGTCTTGGGAGTTCAAGGCCCCAAGTTCAAGTCCAGGTGTTGGTATTTATTCTATGACTGTCTATGACTCATCTGACCTCACTGTCCACTCACCGGCAGCAGGGAGGATCACCTGCCTGCCCTGCCTCACTGTGTAACCTGGAGATCAGTGACATTACATGTCAACGCTATTTCCTAGACAGACCCGCCCTTACTAAACAGATGAGAAAACTGAGGCCCAGGGGTGTTAAAGCTTTCAAATAATTCCTAAGTCTGGAGATTCGAGATGGGGCCAGAATACCAGTGATGTGCAGGAAAGAACTGTGAGGAGAGGAATCAGCAGAAACTGAGAGAAGAGCAGGGGCAGAGGGCAGTGATGTGGATGAGGGGGAAGGTCATTAAAAAGCACAAGGCAGGGGGGAGGGGGAGGCCAGAGCAGGGCGTGGTGAAAGCATGGCGACGAGGACGAGGACCACACGGAAAGGCCATGGGAGGTAAGAGGGAGTGTGATTGGCCCAGACAGAATGAGGACAGCACAGGGCTGCGACACCAAGCCCTGCTGTGTCACCACTGTCCTTCTCTCGGGTTGTCAGCCAGCTCCGCGAGGGCTGAGAAATCCTTACAGTGAAAGCCAGTCTCCTTGGCCCCCTTTTGGAAGGAAAACTGAGTCTGCCACAGGCAGGCCAGGCAGTGTGCATGGGCTGAACCTCCATGAGTCCCGCCACCCACCCTGCCACAAGGAGTCCGCAGAAACATAAAGCCAAATTCATCTCTCTTCTTTGCCAAATCCATAATTTACACAAGCTGATAACAACATGGCTGGGATTAAAGCAATGAGGTATAATGACCTTGAAACGTGGGAATCGCTCACGTAGGACCAGAGGGAGGGGAGAATGGGAAGCAGAGAAAAGCAAACAGACCACACAAGACTAGCAGGGGGCGGAAGCGGCTCGCGTGGGATGCTGGGCTCGGAGCGGAAGGAGGGCGGCAGGGGAGGGAGGAGGGGCCCGTTCGCACCTTTGGGAAGCCAGGTCGGAGCAGGCAGGCTTCTGCTCGGTGTCAGCAGCGGGGCAGCAGAACTGGTGCAGCACGGTCTCATTCCTGCGAGCAGAGAGGGGGAGAAGGTCAGAAGGTAAGGGCAGGCCGAGCCGGTTCTGAAGACCCCTCAGCATCTCTCCCCACCCCCCAAACCTGGCTACCCTTTCCCTGCCTGGAACCCCCAGTGAGGTGCCCAGGCGACCAAGCACAGCCCTGGAGGAGTGTGCGGAACACCTTTTCCATTCCTCCAGGCCGTCTCCATCACTCATGGGACAACTGAAACACTGGCCCTGAGCACAGTTCCCCGGGTTTCCCACTCTTGTACTGCACTGTGCGTCCCTGCAGGGGGTTCTTACTTGCGATTCTCTGTTCATGGAGCTGCCTTTTATCCTAGTTAGTTCTTTATGGCCCTGTCCCTTAGAAGTCCTGCGAGGCAGAACAAGGTCTAGAGACCTGTGACATGAGGACTCAGCCTCTGTAAAGCCCCTCACACACAAAGCCTCAGAGCATTCACACAGCCTTCCCGGTTGCCTCCTGGAAGTTCAGGGATGTCTGATGGAGGAAGTGTAAGTGTGGGTTCTAGCTGGAACTCTGGATGGCCAGCTGAATTCATGTTTCACTGTGCGGGCCTTCATGCTCTGGGGAGACAGCTTGCACTTTACTGAGGGGGTTGAACTGGAGAGGCAGCTCTCAACCCTAGCTGTCTGTTAGAGCCACCAGATTTTAGAATATACCAGTGCCTAGGGACTCTGAGTCACATGGTCTGGCAGGGGTTCAAGCACCAGAACTCTTTATAAAGTCCAGGCTGCAAAAGTCCCTTCCCAGCCAACACACTGTGATTCTGATACCTGTATAGAGCCAAGTTGGAGCTAATACTACACTTACTGCAGGGTGAAGGTCCCTTGCCCTGTTTTCAACTCTCCCTTCTTAAGTCAGAGAATGTCAGGTCTGGAGGATCCTGGTTCATCTGAAGGAGGGTTCTGGTCTTCCTTTAGGTTCAGAGTACCTTGTCCAAACCAGAGCTTTCCTTGGAGCACACTTGGTAGATCAACAGAGGGGGAACAGTAATGTCACCGGGGAGCCGAAACTCTGTCCCACTGCACAGACCTCCCAGGCCCAGTTTTGGAATCTGCCGCCCAGGCACCTCTTAAGAGTCCCAGAGTTCTGAGATCAGAGATCAGTATAGAACACAAAGGTCAGCTAGATCCATGAAAGAAAGTAACCCTGGAGCCTACCTTAAATAGATAAGCACAGTTACAGAGAGGGTACATGTTTAGGTTAGAAACGAATCAGAAGGAAACAGAACTATCACTTACCACCTGGGAGATGTTTTTGAACAAAACAGAACAGGAATTCCATTAAGAAAAAGATATGCTGGTATTGAGGTATATGGGAGGCTGAGGCAGAAGGATCAGTATGAGGCCAGCCTGGGCTATATAACATGTTCCAAGCTGGCTAGTGCTATGTAGTGAGACCCTATTGTTATAAAACAATACTATCATAAGTCAATACACTGGGGAGGTTTGTTTATCATGTACAGCAGGAGATGTGAAGACTCCAGTCTGATGTTCCCCATGGAATCCTGTGTTTGAACACTTAGGCTAACTGGTGAGGCTGTTTGGGAGGGTTGTTGGGCCTTTGGGATAGGAGGCATGGCTGATAGAGGTGGGTATCTGGGAGCTCTTTCTGGTCCCGTCTCAGCTTCCTGAGCTTCCAGCATATGAATAAAGCCACACTGCAAATTTATACTACCACAGACCAGTGGTTCCCACCACCATTGGTCTACGCTGCTGCAGCCACCATGTTCTCCCTGCCAGACTGTGAGCTCTAAAACTTTGAGCCAAGATAAACCTCCTGTGCTTCAGGTTGCTTTTCTCAGGGAATCTGTCAATTAATATCCTTCTTACATTGAGCTCCAAAACACCCTCAATGAAAAGACAAATTCATGAGAGAAAAATGTGGAAACAGTCATGGTAGAAGAGAAAAATCTAAAGAGCCAATAGATATGTGAAGAGATGTTTCACATAGCTTGTAGCCATGAAAATGCAAATTAAGGTGGCACAGAGGTACCATAGCTCATCCATCAGATGGGCAAACACTAACAAGATCGCTAACTCCCGGTGTTATTGAGGCTGTGGGAGATGGAGGGGGGTGGAGTGTGTGCTCTTAGTTCTGCCTGAGTAGGTATGGATTCTTATAGCTGCTTGGGGGAATTAGAAAGGACATACCTTCCCATCCAGAAATACAACTTCTGGGATTTTACACTTGCTGGGATGCAAGTGTTTCTCAGAAAGGTTTTTATTCCAAATGTTTAAGGGAGCATTGCTTTTCAGGAAGAAAGAAGAGCTAGAGTCCCCAGGCAGCAAGGAATGGCGAAGACTGGAGACCTTCTTGCATACCTTGTAGTCACATGCTTGTCCAAAAGAACCAGCCCTTTATCTCTTGGTCTGTAGACGGAGGTCCACACTTACGGCTAAGTGTGAATATCTGGTGCAAAGGAAAGTACAGCATACAATCCCGACTTGGTAGGAAGCAGGGACCTCCTCTTGTTAGCTCGTTAGTTTTTGGTCAACTGGACACAATCCAGGGTCATCTGGGAAGAGGGAACCTCAACTGAGAAGATGCTTGCTTTTGATTGACCTGTGGGGAAGTCTGCCGGGGCATTTTCTTGATTAATCAATGATGAGGGAGGGCCTAGGTGACTGTGGGCAGTGCCGTTCCTGAGCAGGTGGTCCTGGACTGTATAAAAGAGCAAGCTGAGCAAGCCATGAGAAGCAAGCTAGGAAGCAGCCTTCTCTGCTCCTCCATGGTCTCTGTTTAAGTTCCTGCCTCCAGATTCCTTTTTGAGTTCCTGTCCTGACTTCCCTCAATGATGGACTGTGATGTGGAAGTGTAAGCCAAACGATCCCTTTCTTTCTCGAGTTGCTTTGGCTCATGGTGTTTATCACAGCAATAGAATGCAAACTAGGACATGTGTGCACTTCCTGTTTTATGAGTGCAAACTAAGCTGTTAACTTTGGCTGCTGCAGCAGATGAAGCTGGGGGAAAAAGAGGTCAGAAGTAGAAGAGGAAAAACAGCGCTTGGTGTGACCGTAACAAACGAAGTCAAATATAAAATTGTGTTTATGGTATCTATTACTGTAAATATGTTAAAACTGAATGTATACTAGGATGGGAATAGAGAGTGCCAGAAACCAGCACAATCCTGATGTCATTTCAGGAATCACATAGAGTTTTTATATTGAAACTGCTAATTTAAAAGATTATCAATTATAATTTAGTTATAACTTATGATTATAGATTAAGAATTCAGCTACTATGACATTGTAAAAGGTCAAGGGTTGAGGGCAGAGCTCAACAAGAGAACGAAGGCTTAGAATCTACCAGAGCATGGGTTTAATGTCTAATATGAGCAAAGAATGAATAAAAGGGCAACCAAGAAAATAACGGGCTGGGATGGTGGCTCAGTGGTTATGTGCTCGCCCCCCAAACACAAGGACCTGAGTTCGGGTGCCCTCCCAGCACTCTGTAAAAGCTGGAACCCATATCTGGGCGGTGGAGGCACACGCCTTTAATCCCAGCACTTGGGAGACAGAGGCAGGTGGATCTCTGTGAATTTGAGGCCAGCTTGGTCAACAAAGCAAGTTTCAGGACAGCCAGGACTGTTGTACAGAGGAACCTTGTCTCAAAAACCAAACCAAAACAAACAAAACAACAAAAAAGCTGTAACCCCAGTAGTGGGGTACAGAAACAGGAGGATCCCTGGCAACTCACTGGCCACCCAGTCAAGGTTCAGTCAGGAACCTGCTTCAAAACAATGGAAATCCATGGAGAAAGGTACCCGGCGTCAACCTCTGACTTCTACATACACATGTACACACACATGTGAACACATACCTGCCTACAGAGAGAGAGGGGGGTGGAGAAGGAATAATAAGAAAGAGGAAATATCAATGTCAGCCTCTAACCACTTGTGTTACCCATGAGAACTGAGGCCCAGAATAGAGAGACACTGTGTCTAGAATTGTCCTGTGATCAGCCTTCCAGCTTCCGCTACTTCCTCCCCCTGCTCTAGCTTCCTGGGGCAAATCAGAAACCTTAGAGAACTGTCTGGAACCAAAAGACATCGTGATGATATACAGAACATCCTGGGGGTCAAAGGAAGGACTTTGGCTCAGAACCTCAACACTTTGGCATGCACGGGAGGTGGGTGGTGGGTGGTGGATGGTAGTGGATAGATAGCTCAGGTGTGCCGGCAAAGCTTTGCCTACACTTCCGGTTACAGTCCATCAGTCGCTCCCATGTCCACAGCAGGCTTAGAGTTCCTGGCAAGGCCATCAAGCTCACAGACAGACAAGCAGCCTGTTGCCCAGGCAGGCGACGGCATTTCAGGAATGAGAAGCCAGCAAGCCACAGTTACCATCTGACACAGAGTGCCTGAGGGGACAGTCTGTGTTTAGGAGGCACGCTGTGAGCTGCTCCACTGTCCAGTCATGGGCCGGCCCCGAGGCTCCCCCAGACCCTCGGTTTCCTAGCTGCATCGACACATGCCATGGTGATGCACACCTAGTGTCAGGAGCCCTTCTGCTCTCCAGGGGTGGCTGGTTGGCAGTGCTGCTGGGCTTCAGTCTGTGCAGAGTTTCCAGAACACAACTTCAGTGGCTGAGGCTCCCAGCCCTTCTCTGGCTGCCCCTCCATCTCTGCCTGCCCTGGGGTCTCCCTAGCTGCACCCAAAGCTTCCTTCTTTATCTTCCCTTGAGATGTTGGTCCACACTGAGTTGCAGGTTCTGATCTCCTCCCCTGCCGCCCAAGGACATGTTCTAAGTCCCCTGATCTGGGCAAGCCTTAGTTTCTGTGGGCTAAATGTTACCTGCAGCCTTGCAGATGGCCCTTCTCTCTACCCTGGAGTGTTAAAGGAGGGAGTCAGAGAACTCATTCTTACTGAAGATGAAAAGCAATCTGTGATGGGAAAGGTCCTTCCCCTGTGTCCGTCCTTCCCACAGCCCCAGTGTGATCACGGGGAACACGGAAAACAACTGAGGTTCTGAATTAGGGGTACTCCA